CCTTCAAGGCACTGCCGAACTCTTCAAGGGACATTTTGTCCAGCTCAAGAAGAGCATCAACGGCAGGCATAGCCCCGAGGTGGACGTCGCCGTCTTCCTCCCCCGTCAAACCGTTAACGAGGGTGTATAGCTGTGCACCGTCGTCTAACGGTAGACACACCCTGGATCAGGGTCGACGCCCGGCGTCTTGCAGCCAGCATACGGCGTCGCCGTCGCCTTTGTACAGAGGTTCTATGTCTCGGTGAGACCAGGGTAAACACGCACTATGCGGCGTCCGGTGTCATCCTCACCGTCCGCTCCTTTGAAGCTCCAATATTATCTACAACATCCGACGAAGAGCTGCTTACCCAGCAGTCTTCGTCCAATGGATAGCGTGCCGCTCCACGCGCATCTGAAAGACCGGGTCCAAGCTACCTCGGATTCACAACATCCGACGAAGAGCTGTTAACCCCGCAGTCTTCGTCCAGTGGATAGCGTGTGCCACGCCACGCCCATCTGAAGGGCCGTGTCCAAGCTGCTTCAGACTCTGTCCGACCCCGCCATCAATGGCATACAGCAACTGCTTCGCAACGAGAGCAGTGCTCGGTGGTTTACGTGCCACTTCACGTGCATCACGGGGCCTCGCCCTCGATGCCTCGGCCCTCGGTCGACCGTGTCATGCATGACATGTAGCGACTGCTTCGATACTCGAGTAACGCTCAGTGGTTTACGTGCCACTTCATGTGCATCACGGGAGCCTCGTTCTCGGTGCCTCGGCTCTTGGCCGACCATGTCACGCATGACATGCAGCGACTGCTCCACATTAAGTAACGCTCAGTGGTTTACGTCCCGCTCCACGATCAGCCCGCGGGCCACGCTCGGGACTCCTGTTCGATACATTGTTGATGTCTACCAACTCGGACATCCCAATGTCCAGGACGTTGACCGTCTTGGTCTAGTGCTCTCGCCAATAGCAATTTTGTCTCATAGCAGGGGTGAGCTCATGACTCGCCAAAGCTCCACCAGGAGACGTGCGCGTAGCGCCCAAGTTCTTTGACCTTCAATCAATCCATGCTTATGGTGTTTCAACCATGCCATTCCTAGGATGAGGTCATACCTTGCATCCAGGTCTAACACTGGACAGCGTTCCACGCAATCAAAGTCAAGAAACTTGACTCCGAGGTCCACAGGGACCTTCGGGACCGTGACACGCGTCCCCGTCGATAAGCGAAGAGTGATGATGTCACCCAACCGCGCTTTCAGCGCCCCAACATACAGCTGACTTCCCTCTATCGTGGAGCGTCGAGCATAATTGCCCGCGGAATCAATGAGGTTCCTCCATGGCTTCTCGAAGCCCTTACGGTCGCCTCCACGACCAGCAAGCCCAGCTTGCACACACATTCCGTGTTTAAGAGCACGGAGCTCTTCGGGGCTGGGCCCTGTTGACCTATGCCTCCCTGAGGCTCAACAGACCTCATTTCTTCCCCAGTAGGGCGCCCCGCGGCTACTGAGGGGTGTCGATTCCATGCGACGAACCAGACTGGTAGACGTCGGGGCGAGGTTTGAAGAACCTTGACGCGCCTTGCGCAGGAACAATCGTTCCGAAGGTGACAGGTGCATCCACAGACAAACCACCGTCGAATGTGTGTATGCTGCCCGGTAGCTTGGAAATCTGCTCCCTCGTCCTCAGCATAGCTGAGATCCATGGGCATAGGCCCGCTCGTCGAGCTGTTAGAGTGTGCCTTCCAACAAGTCGTGCCGACTTGTCTTAAACTCGGCATTCAATGCCACATTGACCGCCTCTTTAAATGAGGACAGATGCACACGGAAGATTTTCATTCTGGCCACGCCAGTGCGGAGGCCATCCATAAACACGGTCACTGTGACCGCTTCCGGGAGAGGAATTGCTGTCATCCATCCATTAGGCGGCGAGAACACTCGTGAGAGCTGCAATTTCAGCTCCGACCGAAGTGCCGCGTGTCAGTGCCCATTCTCGCGCTCGACCTCCGAGCTTTAAGATGGCTAGCGCCACGCGCTGTTGCTCGGTCTGGAGCATGGTGGATGCGATGTCCATCTCGAACTCTCTCACCTAAAGCAGGAGATTCTCTCCATCCTTCCCTTCAAAGACCTTAACGCTCACCATGAGTGGCTTAAGTCGGGGGAAGTCATCCGTCACCGACGGTGGCGTCATCGACGCAAACGATGCAGACATCTTCTGCTGGTGCTCTAGCAGCGCGTTTTCGTGACTCGAAAACGCCTCTAGACTCGCGCCGATTGCCTCGGGGCCTTGCGCCGCGAGGTGTTGCACGCCCTTTGGGTCAAGCAAGGACATCAGCTTATTAAGCCCGTCCTGCATGCCCTGTGGTAATGAGGAAAATTCCTACATCCTCACAGAGGATCAGTCGAAACGACTAAGGTGAAGATTGACTAGAAGTGCTACCAAGTGCAGAGGGGCTTCCGTAGCTTTGCGCTTGAGGAAGCGTCTTTAGGTCACCGACCTTTCGTTTAATACAAGAACCAAGTACTAGTGCAGCGGCTGCCTCTAAAAGTGCTTAAAAGTCTTAACGAACACTTCTGTTCAAAATCAGAAATGATTTTTATTAAATTTTTTATCCTAATGTTAAAAATTTAAATTTTCCTAAATATACTAAATATATATAGTAAAATCTAAAAACATCCATAACTACTGGCTACCTAGCCCCGTCCCGTATTCTGGTTTGGGTGTGTGGTCACATTATGCACATCTTGTGTGACAAGCACACACACACCTGTTCGTGTAACATCATTACAACCAGTCCCCTAAAATTATGTGGAGGCAGATAATGGCAAGTCGCGCGTAGAAGGACCTGGCCCAACTGTCAATCAAATAAATAGAAATTAGTCAGCCATCCTAAAAAGATTCAAGCCACCCTCCACTACTCCTGGCGCAAACGTCACTATTTTCGATTATCACCTCAGAAAATGTAAGGAAGTATTAGATGACCCCACCGAGTTCATATTAAAGTGTTGAAGGATGAGACGAGCTCATCGTTTATGATGAATGTGCTCGACATATAGGATACTTGCACAGCACTGAGTGCGCGAAAGGGGCAGCTATCTTAGGAATCCTTTTGGTTAGTACAAAAGGCCTACCCCGAGTGTTGCCACGAGATTGGCCCATTTTAGACCAATAAAGATTGCGTTACATGTCCTTACCCAACGGAACGAATCAAACGTCATAGACCATTTCATAGCGCAAAATAAAATGTGAGTTTTCACTAAGATTTTGCAACAGTAAGGCCAACATATAATGACAGATTGTTCGCCCGTAAAAATTGCGTAATATAGCCACTGCTTTCGTTCAAATAGCAATTTTTGATAGGACTTGAGGCAAAGAAAGATGGCTTGCTCAGCTCTCATGACCTAGTCGATATGCATTATTAAACACTCATGAGAGCTGAAAGTCATTGAGTACTCGAGTAAGATGGTCTAGGCAAGGCTGTTCATGCCTCAATGACTTCTGAACGCATCATAGGCGCTCAATCGGCCGAAATTGTCGAGACAGCGTTGTGCATAGTCGCATTCGTATTTTATCGATACAGTCGTCCATAGCCGAGTTAACACCCGGTGTTGCCTACGAGCATCCATGTCGAACACTTGCGAACATTGCTCGAGTTTATGACCTACTAAAGCTGTTTTCAGATGTAGCCAAGTGTGTCCGGAAGGCTTCAGTGGGAAGGAAGGCAGCTCTGTCAAAAATCACGGCAATAGCAGACTGACCAGTACCACCGTCCCAAAGGACTTCCGAAAGTGTGTTTTCCTGGTGAAATATGCATAGCATGGTTCGTCATATTTACTTCATAATCGAATATAAACTAAAATAGATTAGCTAAATATATAGGCCGTCCACGGATATTTTATCAGCATTTGACATCTCCAGTACCTCTACCAGTAACATATCGTACGTTATTGTACGATTTTTATGGCTTAACAAAGCTCAGGAACCGATCCTGTGGTGCAGTGGTATGCTGTTTACTTCAGAACCGAGAGGTCCAGTGTTCAATCCCCGGGCCGGGTAGAGAGGGATTAGAGTGTAATGAATAAAACCCTACAGCACGTGCTTGACATGACTTACACGACTCCTAAAAAGGGGCGTCGCTCCTAATCATATCTTAACAAAGCTCAGGAGGTTGATATTAAAATTGATTCCCACTAGGCTAACGGTCATCACTCTGAGATAGAGCGCTCCTTCTGGATAATGTTATTTACACACACACAGTCTTACAGATCTGTTTTTTCCTTGACGCAAAATCTGGCGAATTTCACGGTAAGCCCATTCATCAACAAGTACTTTTTCTGCATCACTTTTAAGATGTGTTGAATTGCTAACAAAATATATCGCTCTCTTGAAGATGTATCTGAATATTTGGTAATTTTTCCATTTTCAATGCTGCAACACAATAAACAGACGGCTTGCAACGCTCACATTTATACTCAAATTAATTTTCGTATTATGCTGCACATCTCAGCATTGTTGTCAACAGCGTCAACGTTTGTTTAATAAAGACGCAAAAACAATACTGACTTCTGAAATGTGTCTGACATTTAATACAATATGAAGTTTGACAGCTCGTACAAAAAAGCTATTTTGTGCATGATCTGTCTTCCAGTCGAAAAATTACCATGCGACGAACATTAATTGAGATCTGTAATATAATAGTCCGACCGTGTATGAACTCCTTATATGGGTTGCGTCGTGTGTCCACGACAGCTATGCGCCCCTGCAAACGTATTCAGATGCCGTTGAGCCGTGCAGTGCAATCCAAATCTGCTCAGAATAATCACGATGACTACCACAGCAGCATTCAAGCAAACAGTATCGAATCGAAATGGACAAATCAGAAAAACAATCACCAAGAGCTGGAAGCTAACGAAAAGAGCTCTTTCTCGCGTGAGTTTGAAAAGCCAAGAATGGATGCAAGTTTTTTAGTGAACAATTACACGGCGCCAGCACTTGCTGCCGCTTATCAGGATCGTGAGTATACCTTGCGTCTTTGTGCCGAGCTACTAAGCGAAGGCAAATTGGACGATTTAGAATCTGTCCTTAAGCCGTATCACGGTACGCTGATTCGTCGTGTTATTGATTCTTACTTGATGTATAACTAATTGGATCGTATGTGTTTACTTGCAGATTTTCCTCAGCTCGATAGAAACACACTACAGCCAACGCCAGTTGCCAATGCATTCAATAAACGTCATCTTGAGCGTATTCGCAAGCGACTTAGCCGGCTACCACGGCAAATTACCAAAGCTTACTCAGCTCGTGCCGCTGTCGTCGTTCCACTGTGCACATTTGAGGGCGAACCGTCCGTACTCTTTACATTACGCTCGCTCACTGTTGGCAAACACAAGGGCGAGGTATGTTTTCCTGGTGGGATGGTAGACTCTAGTGACTCGAGCGTCGAAGGTACATGTTTACGTGAGCTAAGTGAAGAGGTCGGACTGGGACCCGAGAGTGTTGATGTCCTTGGTGTGCTGCGCTGCGATTGGTCTAGTGTCACCTCGATAACAGGTATTGCTGTCACTCCCGTTGTAGGGTTTATTGGCGAGATGAGCGATCGCACTGTTGCTATTAATGAAGCAGAAGTCGAGTCTCTTTTTACTGTGTCACTACGTGATTTGATGGATCAAGACAATTGGATTCACCATAGTAACGCTACACCAGTCTTCACGGGTGGTCCGCATGTCATTTGGGGATTAACAGCTTATCTGCTAGATATTTGCTTGTCTGAAGTACTGCAAATCAGCAATTAATAGACTTGAGATCATTAATCATTGACTGACCTGTTAGTGTAGACCTAAGACAAAAGACAATTGGGCAGTATCATTAGAACTCATTAGGATGCTTTGACAACGAGAACAAAATCAAGAGATGTCTAGAACAAATTCAAACAATGCAATCGGATTCTTCAAGACAATCAATCATCAGGCTTCAATATTTCATGTGTAATTCTTCGTGGACGTGCTTAAAGAAGCGACAAGCTCGTTTGCGATTGCAGCAGTTGACACGAAAAATGACCAGATAACTAAAGACAGTTTATGACACAGCCTAGCGATTAAACGCATTGACAAAGAAATCACTATGGTAAACAATAGGCAACAGTTACTCCTCTTCTTAAGATACAAGCGTAGATATTGAGACTTCGAAAGTCCTGACCGATTTTGCCGGTAAGTTGGCGGTAAACGATTTACCCACGATAGGGCAAGTGCTTTCAACGTAAAGCGCACCCGTACCGCTGGTCTCAGTGGTCCACTCCATGACAGGGCCAGTCACTGCTCCAAAGCTTGCGAGGTCAAACGTGATCGACTGGGCGTCGCCCACATTCACTGTCACGAGTACTAAACATTTCTTGTCAGCATCAAAAGCCACGACGGTTTTCACATCGTCTGAGGCAAGGATCTGCATACCAGGACGGATGTGACGGGTGTACTGCGCCATCACGTAGTATTTCGGGTTGGCTTCACCCATCCAGTCATCACCCGGATTAGAAGCAATGAGGCCCCAGCCACCGCTATCGAGCGCCTGCCAGTACACAATGCCTTTTGCGCCCATCTCGTTAATATCAAGAGCGATTGACTCAGCCATGGTGAGACCAGAGCCATCGTTCTCTGCCAGTTCAGAGTCCCATAACGTCTTTTTGAACTTGTTTGTGAGGTCTCTAAGTGGCTTACGCTTATCACCACGATACGCATCCAGACCGAGGTACCCGTGTGTGTTAATTTTTGTAAACGTTTCGACGATACCAGCTGTCTTCTCCATGTCTTCAAGTGTGTGTAAGGTTGCATCAGGCGAATTCTCATCAGGCGTAGCGATCGCGACATCTTGCAGATTCAGAGCATCCAGCTGCTTGCGAAGCAGAATTAATATCTTTTTTTGAGTAGCCCACGAAAAGTGACATCCTTCCTGCTTACTAGGAAATTCCCACCACGATTCGGATGGTTCATTGAATGGCTCAACATAATCAAAGTTTACACCCCAGCGCGTCTTGAACATATTTACAACTGTGGCCAGGTACAGAGCAAACTCTTCGTAGTTATGAGGTGTCAGATTGTCCTTCTTTCCGTTATCTCCACCGGCAGTTGCATGATTATGGTTCATCCACCACGGTGGTGAATTCGAAAACGCTTCGAGCTGGTCAGCTCCCCTTTCGATGGCAAGCATCAACATCGCACGCTGTCTAGGATCGGCATCCCAATTCCAGCTCGCCGACGCAGTATCTGCACTCATCCAATCAATCCAAAAGCTCTCCATAAACCTATACGGTTGCATATTCTTCGACTGTTTCATCGCGACTTCTTTACCATCGTCATCAACGACGTTTTTGCTTGAACCTCCAATGTTGTACCGAGCAATGTTAAAGCCAAGACCAGGCAGTCCAGAAGAAGAGCCTTGAATTGTCACGCTCTTGTTTAAAGTAAATAGAGCATCAGCAATGTCGACGCGCTCTCCATAGTGATTGGCCCACCAACAAAGTGACGTACCCCAGCCGTCCCACGAAGACTGAATGGTCGTAGCAGCGTCTACCTTGACCGTATAATCGGCCAGCACTCGCGGGGGAACAGACAAAAGAGCGCAAGCAAGTACTGAAGTAGCGAAAGACCGAGTCGTTTGCATCACTAATTTTTCTTTGATAAGTGTTTAAATGCAATGGAGTTGGAAGTTTACGTATTGAATGAATGTTTATATGCTTAGTTGACCTGATTTGTATTCCTAGGAACTGTTTTGACGCAGGATTAAAGCGTAATGTAAAAGATATGAGTCGCAATGATTCATTCTGAGATGTGTCGGTTCCTTTTTTATTCAAAGCAATGCATGAACGAATCCAGCTGTTTGGGACACTAAGGTCGACAAAGAAGGTAAAAAGCAGACTAACGATGCATTCCCGACTTTTGCCGTTAATTAATATATTTCGCAGTCAAAATTCTATCGCATCGTTATTGTTTCAAGACGTAGATTGTCACATTTCTGAAAAATTCTTGTCAAGTCTTCTACGCATTTTGCTAGAGAGTTTAACATTAGTATAATGGGTATATAAATTTTAGCAGCATCGCAAGAACACGATGCCGCGAGTTATCGAATCCCAGACACTCGCGCGCACTCTTCTACCTCCACATGGAGTTATAGAAAGCCAGCAGCTGTAATGGGATACGTGCCTGCTTACGCATGACAATATCGTCATACAAAGCTCAAAAGTAGCAGGTTGAAGTAATACGATGAAATAACGTGATAAGTTAGTCGTAAAGAAGAGGCTTGATTCACACTATGCATTATAATGGGTTTATTGTGAAAGGTAATGAATAGATATATTCAGGGCGATTTCTAGCTAGCCAGAATTAGAACCTTAAAAACACTCAGTTTGGCACTTAGATGGTGGTGGTAGACCCGTCTGTGCGTGAAATCTGTATTGTGCAAGCGTACGAGATTTCCGTTAATTTCGGCCCCAAGTGGGTACTGTACAACAAACTTTCCTCTTTCGTACCTATTTTAGCGGACACGCCAGGTAATACACACATTTCAATTTGACAGACGTCAGTTTGTCTAGCGATACAGCTGGTCAATTGCAGCGGGGCTGTCGTAGCTTTGCGCTTAGAGGAAGCGTCAGTTAGGTCACCGAGCTTTCGCTCTATACTTAGAATAAGTACGAGTTTAGCGGATCGCAATCCGCTTACTTCAAAAGAAACTACAACCCTAACCAAAGGGTAATTAACTCTTCCGTTTTAATCCAAAATTGATTTTTATTTATGTTTATCTGCGGCAAAACCGCCTAATTTCAAATGCATATATTCTCCTAAATATGTATAGTAAAATCAAAATACATGTTTTCCTGATGGCTACCAGCCCCGTACCGTATTCTTGTTTGAATGTGGTCACACCATGCCCATCTGATGTGACACACACCCCTGTTATCAGGGTATGTGTAACCCCGTTACACTTTCCCCATCAAGATTGATAACATTTACAGTTCCAATCGATTATTCCTCAACGAGGCCTGCGTGTCCGCTAGACAATGCAATTTGGTTCGTTGGAACGAAACGACTTCCGTGTCCAATGAGCCCTGCGTCAAGTCACCAAGTCTTGCTGGTTCCGACAGCGCACACGGGCAGAGCCCAACTTCGTCTCCCGCATGCGGTGCAATGTCGGACAGTGCGTCCGCGGCATCGAGGATTGTAAATCCTAGGCTCGATGAGCCCGAGTGTCGCGCTCCGCGCACGCTATCAGTGACTAGTGACCTCATTGGGGATGTGGAGGTGGTCGACTACGAATCTGACACTTCTTTTCCCGAATGGAGCGAGAGACGAGCCCTGCTCGCGCCTTGCGGACTCCATGTCCGTTTCCTGGCCTCTCATCACCTGAGGGACGTTGTGCCATCATCAATAACCTCGAAGAGGCACAGAAGCGGCAGATGGAAGCTTCCCGTAAGGCGGCTCTTATGCGCGCCCATCCACGGCCGGTCATTGACCCTCGTGTGGAATATGGCTTCCGACAGGCATTCCCGCTGTGGAAGCGAACTACGTGGTAACTCGATCGTTACGCCTCCACATCATCGGGCCCCCGGCCAATATGGATGATAAACTTACCGAACGGAAAGGTCTTCGAGCTTGTTTCTTGGTTCCACTGAAATTTCCGCTGGAAGCTTTTCGCACTCGTCTACTTGAGCAACGAGGTGGCTCTCGTGAACCCGCAATACGGACAATACCTGTAGTGCTCGCCCCTGACAAAAAGCTACAGATGACAAAGCGCTCTTTGAGTGATGTATTCAACGGCACTGGAAGCTTTCCTCACTGTATAACTTACAGTTTAGCCACACGGAAGTGGACGAGGGTGTGGAGCGCCACCTCCGGTTTGAGTTTGCCAAACTCAAAGCACGCCGTTGACTTCCTTCGGATTGTCGCCCTGTGACGTATGGGTCAACTCCTTACGCTCTCGCGATCTTTTTGTCTGCGACCGCAAGAGCTCAGGGTCACTTCCCTAAGCTCAGCTCATGGCCCTGCTACTTCCCTAGCTATTGCCGGAAAGCGCGGGGAGTCCTGATCTTTCTTATTAAGCGCGTCTACGGCGCCTGGGAAATCTTGCGAAGTGGCGTATCACACTCCCACGAGTTTTCGGAGTCAGGATATCCCCTCCATTTCACCAGATATTGGGTTTGACCTGGTGACGACGTCGTCCAACAAGACGTTCCACGTGATAGTGAACGTCACCCTTCTCATCGAGATGAGTCGGTGGCGGGTGGTGGCGACCGGATCGACCGCCGTTCGGGGACTCAAGATGCTCTTCAAGCCCTTGAAACGAATTCCTTCGTGATCGGAACTCCGCTGTGCGTCATGTGAAGTAGCATATCGCTGCGCGGACGCTCTTGACGATTATCAGCACGTCGTGCGCCGGCTGCCTCACCATGAGGACTACCGCGCTCTGTCGGAGCGACCCCTAGCCGTGCAGCAGGCGAATGCGTCGCTGCATGCGACGGTGGAGCGCTTGGCGCCATTGGAAATAGAGGATGTTGCACTCCGTGCTCAGAACCAGTTGCTGGTTCAGTTTCTGGGTCGCCGAGGGCCCGTGGGATCTGCTCTGGTGCCAGCGCTTCCGCGTTCACATGCGCCGGATCCCGGTACGGCTTGAGCAAGCCCACGTAAAGCACCGGGTGGATGCGCATCCGTTTTGAAAGGTTTAGCATATACGCCAGGCCCCGCTTGGCCACAACCTTAAACGGTCCAATAAACCGTGGATGAAGGTTCATCCGGAAGATAGCAGAGACTGCATGTGCAGACAGGTTTTTAGAGTTTAATAAAACCAGGTCTCCGACCACAAAGCCATACACTTTGCCTCTTCCTTTTTCATCTGCATATTCTTTTTGCAGGTCTTGGTCATCGCATCGCGAACGTCTCGTAGGACACTCAGTCTGGTAGACAACAAGTCATCGACTTCTTTGCGGATGGTGAGGGAGCTGACATCAGCTAACCGTTCGGCTATTACTCCCCCACCAAGCCCTGAGCCATGAGATGGCAGCGTCAGCGGGACGCGAGGGTAAACTAGCACGTTAACGTAGAACGGCGTGAAGCCGGTAGACGAATGCACTGCATTGTTCAGTGCAAACTCTACGAGTGGAACATGGCGCTCCAGCGCCTCGGCGTCTCAGCGCAGACGCTGCGAAGAATGTCTTCGATGACGCAATTCACCCTTTCGATTTGACCATTGGTCTGTGGATGATCCGCTGTCGACATTTCCAACTTGGTGCCGAGTACCTTGAAGATAGTCGACCAAATTTTTCTTGTGAAACGGGGGTCTCAATCAGAGACAATCGACTCTGGGAGTCCGTGTAGTCGGAAAGCTCGATCCACGAATAGCGTTGCTGTACCGACTCCGGCGATGGGGTATGGCACCGTCAAATAAGCCATTTTGCTTAACTGGTCGACGAATACCACGACACCCGTGTTGCCCGCCAAATCCATCGGCAGGCCAAACACAAAGTCCAAACCCATGGGCTGTCAGCACCCAGTGGGTACCGGTACGCCGGCCAGCGGCGCAGCTGCATTTGGAGAGGGCTGACACGTCTCACACGTGCGCACATAGGTGCTCGTCCATTTGTACAGCTTGAACCACCAATAT